CTCGAAACCGTAACTTTTTTGTCACAAAAGAACAACCTTTCCGTTTCCACAACTCTAAACCACTAAAATTAGTAATTATCGAATATCATTTGCAAGAAAAGCATACTGAGTGGGATATAGGTTAAAGCCCCCACGGCAGGGTCTACAAAATGATACCTTTATGCATCTTTTGATATTGTTCAAAGTCTTATATTTGAGCTGCTGATACCTCATACATTCTATCAGATAGTCTCTTGCCACTTTCCTAGGTTGAACACGACGTAAGAAGTATGTCGATTACTCTTGTATCTATATTTCCAGAATACATCTGAACATTAGCAAGTGTATATGACTACATTTGTAAGCATGTAACTCATATAAAATTGCCTGTCCGAATACCTAATAACCCGATGAAAGAGAACTAACATATTCACAATCAATATAATTTGCATTTAGACCTACTCTAACCTTTTGAGTAAAACTCTAATTTTAGGTTCTAAACTCGTCCAAACTTGCTCAATCCCTTGGGCCAAAAATGAATTGGGGCAAATTCCGGCCAGGAATTGAGCCTGGGTTAGTGGGCTGGCCCACTGTTGGGAATAAATGCGCCCAGTCTTCGGCCAGACACAGAAGAATTATATGTGTAGGTGAAGCACCTGAATGGCCATAGCGAGGAAAGAGAATTACATGTTCCACACGTGAGGTTCTAATGTCCCAAGGGCAGACAGCATTGCTCCTGATATTTGTCTTTCGCCTACTCACAAGCCAGATGTTTCGTAAGCTGATTGATTGCAGCTGAAAAAAGAAAATTGGAGACAAAACATAAAGACTTGGCTTTCTCCTTTCGCACTCAATCGAATATAATCATAATATGGGGCAAAAGAAGACACAAAAACAGTGGAATGCCTCACCTTTACCTACTGCATAAATGTATCCGCCATCCCGGCAACAGAGGATATAAACATAATGCTTCCTTGCCCGGATGCTTTCAAGAGAGGAACAAGTTGGGAAAGATGGTAAGTAGATTCTAAGTTGGTAGCGATGAGTGATGAATATTCTTCAGAAGTGCACTCAGTGGTTGGCTTCCTGATATTGTTTTACCTAAATCCCACAGCAAAACCCAAAGAAACCCTTTTCAGATTCTAATCGAAGTCACAACCGCAACCCGTTTTTAATTATTCTAATCATATGAAAAATGAAAAAGTTTTCTTCTCTGGGGCACTTATATAAACATCTAGAGGGAATAGGTATGATTGCTTTACACCACTACAGTAAAGCGTTATTTGCCAATGGTTAGTGTTTTTGATGAGCAATCCATTATTTCTATCTGGGGGAATAAAAACTAAGCATTTAAATGTTAAATGTCTCATACCGATTTAGAAATAATGAGTTGCTCATAAAAATACTTTGCATACTGAGTTTGACACTAATTTAAAAACAGACTCATCGTACAACTCAAATTCTCTGGCCGTCAATGTTTATATATCTTGTATTAAAAAAAAATTGATTTATATTTATTTTGTTTTTGATTGTTCGTTTTCATTTTTTATGTTAGATACGGAGAGGAATATGATGATAGGCGTTAGTGTGATAGAGGTTGAAGAAATGTATATTTAATGTAATGATAATAAATGAAAAACAACTTTGAGTTTTCAAAGAGTTTGTAGCTCAAGTTTGTCAAAAAAAAAAAAAAAAAAAAAAAAAAAAAAAGCCCTTGTAGCTCAAGCATTTAAAAACATACTCCATACCGAGGAAGTGCAATGTTTGAATCACCAATCTTCCAAGAATAGGTCTATTGAAAAAATAACACAGTTTTTTGTTGAAGAATAAAGTCCCACGTCAAAAATATAAAAGATAATATACATCTTATACGTGGAAATTCCACACTTAATATCATCGAGGTATTTTTGATAAAACCTAACATCTAGCAACATGTGTTTAAATTGGGAGAACATAAGTGTTGAGTTTTATCACAAAAGAACTCAGTAATATTAAGTGTGGACTATATTTGACTTAAAATCTTATCAGAACCTTCCTCTTTAGCCCATCGCATCCAAATTCAAACCTTTTTTTATTAGACACGAAGAGGAATATGAGAAATAAATAATAAAGAAAAAAGACTATAGTGATAGGCGTTAGTGTGACAGAGGTTGAAAAAATGTATATGTGATGTAATGATGATAAAATGAAAAACAACTTTGAGTTTTCAAAGAGTTTGTAGCTCAAGTTTGTTAAAAAAAAAAAATTGTAGCTCAAGCATTTAAAAACATACTCCATACCGAGGAAGTGCAATGTTTGAATCACCAATCTTGCAAGAATAGGTCTATTGAAAAAATAACACAGCTTTTTGTTGGAGAATAGAGTTCCACGTCAAAAATATAAAAGATAATATACATCTTATACGTAAAAATTCCACACTTATTATCATCAAGGTCTTTTTGATAAAGCTTAACATCGAGTAACATGTGTTTAATTTGGAATAACATACATGTTGAGTTTTATTACAAAAGAACTCGGTAATAAGTGTGAACCATACTTGACTTAAAATCTTACCAGAACCTTCCTCTTTTTAGCCCATAGCATCCCAAATTCAAACCTTTTTTTATTTCGTGGATAGAGACTTTCACTCTCTCTCTCTCTCTCTAATAAAAAAAATTAATGAAAAAACGAAAATGCTACCAATTCAATGCCATAAATCTTCATTCCATCAATGATACATGTTCGTTTGGGCCACATGCATCCTATAAACTCTCACACAAATACACAATCCTATAAGCATTTTGCCCAATTCCGGCCAATCCAAGAACGTACCATGCACTACTAGGGCTTCATATCACAGTTCAAGTTTTGGACTTTTAGGCCGAATCAAGCTTCTCCTTCAAGGACAACAGTTGGGTCAGATGTCTGTATAAATGCAAAAGCCGAAATGCTACAATGCTACTCTGCTTCGGTGTGTACGATGCACCAATATACTAGACGGCTAGATTCATTTGCATGACTGGATTTTGACAATCTTAATTTAACTGTTCAAACACTATTGCATCCATACACCAATATGCTGTAAAAAATTTCAAAACAAAGCACCAGAACCAAGTAACCAACCAAAAACCACAAGCCATTTATGAAGATCACTATCCAATTTGTCATAAGCTCACTTAAAGCTGATCAGTACTGCAATATCTCCTCATTCCCTTGTAAAAATTTCCTATTCAGTGAAGGAAATAAACAGAGGAAAGAGAGAGACATCTCATATCCATGTGATTTTCTGGCTCTACAACTGCACCTCAAATTAACTCATCTCTCAATAATATTTTCAGACCTCGATAACCGGCAAAAAGTAAAACCAAACGAACCAAACTACTCGAACAGCCAGACCAGACACTGCCCCAAAATAATACCGTTAACTTTTCAAACCCATACACAGAAACAGCGCCCTCATCCAAACCAAAGTAAAACCAAAACCTCCATACCTATTTATCCTTTTTACCCACCTCGAAATTCATGCATGCTCATGGAAATGTTCATGTGTGTGTGATGAAAGCATGCACATCAAAAAGTAAAGTCTTTCCATTTTTCACTTCCATCGCCTAAAAGTGGTAAAAATATTGTTGGGGTAACATAAATTCCCTCCAGAGATAAATTCCCTCCAGAGAGTAGAGACCATCTGAAAGTGCATCAAAAGAGATGTTTCATCATCCTTTTACCTTATAAAGAAAACGTTGAAAAAACGCACTCATTAAAACCCTTCTGCGGGAAGAAACCATTGTATGTATATTCTAGGGTTGCTGCATTACTATAACCAGATAGGAGTCTCGTCTATATAGGGTTTTGAAATTTTGACATTAATTTTGGAAACTTATTAAGAGAAGATTTTTATGGCACAAGTACACGGCCATTGTAGCGTCCCGTGTCAATGATATGATGCTACCTATATGTTGCTTTTTGCATGGCATCGTATCATTGACACCAAACGCTATGATAATAGTGTACATGTGCCATGAAAGTTGCTCTCCATTCTAAGACTTTTTTATTTTTATTTTTATATATCTATAGGGCGGTTGGTGATTGGTCGTTGAGGGTTTCAACATGTAGCTAAAATGGTTCCAAAAGTAAAAACAAAGGACTATTTGTTTCTCTCTGTGCCCGGATTATTTAATGGTGCTCTTAATTTGTTTGTTACATTAATCAATCGAATTTGATTCCATCGAGTTGATGGACTATTTGGACGATTAGAGAGTGATTACCATAGCATAGAATTACAGAAGAGATCAACAGATCGATATTCCATAGAAGTGCTTCTTAAAATCTTGGAATTTGATTTGTTTCATGTTAATTATATACTATAATGTATATAGTATTAATTGATCTCTGAATTACTTTCAGTACACTATGGGATATTGTAGCTGAAATGACTTTTGATGTCAGCTACTAGTCAGTTCTTTCAACAATATTTGCAGCTTCACAGATACAGTTAAGTTCCCTAGTCTCTACCTCTCTTGGCAGGAAGATAAACAACAAGGGAAATAAACATAAAAACAAGCACAAAGAAGCTTCTCTCTCTCTCTCTCTCTCTCTCTCTCATGATTCAAGTAGTCTGAGAACAGGCAGTCAACTAATGGTAACTACTGTGTAATTGTTTGAATTTTTTAAAACCTGAACTGCAACAGCAAACCTGGTAGATTTTAAAATTTTATGGGAACTTTATACATCTTTGGACCTTCATCTATCTAGCTATCTAACAGGTGGAACCGTGGAATGGAATACATATCACACCTCTCATAAACCCTAATGCAACACTACTTATCATATCTTTCCCTGCCATATCAAGATATAAAATTCCAACTACTTCTTGTGTAGCTTTTTCAGTTTGCTCTATGTCATTTAACTTCCAGTTTCAAGCATAACATGTTATCATCACATCAATATTAGCAATATATAGTAACTAATTTACTGGAAACAAAAACCCATCGATCAGAACTGAAAAATGGATATTTGATTGACAAGACAAATAATTATGAAAATAAAGTGCAATCAATTAATCTTGAATTCAATTATGTGCACATGGAACCTCAATCTGGCATGTTCTGTTACCCTTGAATCTTTAATTAAGGGTTTTTCCAAGAAAGAGATGGAAAAAGGTTGAGGAGAAAAAACAGAAATTGAAATTGATTAATTTCTTCTAATTCTCTCCTAAAAACTAATTAAAACATTAACTGCAACAATTAACATGATCAAGATGATTAGCTAGCCAATAATACAACTGCATGCCGATTGGCCAGGCCAACTATACACTTTCATTTCACCTTGGGAGGGTCACCAAGCCTGAGCTCAAGATCCAAATCTTCCATGGAGCTTGCCGCAAGTGCTCTAGTTACCTCTACTTCTGGTTGTAGAATAAATGGAAATGATGAAGAAGTAGCTCTATTAGTAGTATTCCTAGGCCTCTTACAACTTATGCTTGCTTCTTCCCCACAAGAACCACCTTGTGATCTGCTTCTGCTGACAGCCGAAATATTCAAGCCCACCGACAAGTCGGTTTCCACATTAAAGTGATCGCCATGATCATAATTACCTTGAAGGGATATGGAGTCTTCCCTGATATTCTCCTTTTCCAATTGGTTATCAGCTTTTGAATTATCTGATGACCAAGATGGAGCTGCAGTAGCAGTAGTAGTAGAAGAAAAAGGAGGAGAGAGAAAAAAAGCTGGTTCTTCAGTACCTGAATTCTCCTTTTGAATAGCTAGTAAATTAGCTGCAGATGGGGGAACCCTAGAAGAAGGTGGTGAAGAGAAAGGACATGATATTGACGAGATATTATTAGGGTCAAGATTGTGACCTGATGAGGCTATAGGCTGATGATGATGATGATGATGATCATGTACATCATGGATATGATGATGACGATGATGATGTGGGACATGATGATGATCATGTGTAGTGGCAATAATATTAGGGTTAAAGCATTGTTTAAGTCTAGCTCTATCTCTCCTGTGGACATTCATGTGGCCACCCAAGGCTTGAGCTGACCTGAACTCTCTCATACAAAAACTGCATGAGTAAGATCTTGGAGGCCATATGCAACCACCAAGAGGACCATGCCCTGCTGCATCTTCAGCAAAAGCCTTCTCTTCCCATGTTGTTGATGAGCTACCACTCATGAGTGCTGATGAGTTCATTGATGGTGCTGATGATGAGTTCAAGATCTTCTCTTTCCTGCGGTTGAGCCACACCCAGCACTGAACTTGTTTCATCCACAAAAGCTAGCCCACCAAAGAGAGAGAGAGAGAGAGAGAGAGAGAGAGAGAGAGACCAGTGTTATAAGACTAAAGTAGAGGTATTTATGAGATCCTGAGCTGAATATATAATTTGAGAATAACTTAAATAGTAAATACTGATTCGTGAACCGGACTTGTAACTTAAGTGATCGATAATAATAAAATTGATAGAATTGAATACTGTGATGTGGGGCATAGAGCTTTAATAGGAGAGATCATCGTTAACCCTTGCAACCAAGTTTAGAGTTTGAATCCTCTCCTATCTCTCTCATATTGGTCTCATTTGTGAAGATGATGATGGTGGGAACTTGAGAATATATGAGTAAGAGAAAGAGGTCAGATGAAAGGGTCTTGGTACTAACTTTACGCCGTGGGTTTCCTACTTTCCTCTATTTTGGCTCTAGCAATGAAGCTACTCTTTTGGTTTTTAGCTCCTTTTCTACACAGTTCTTGTTTCTAGTATTATTTTGGGAATTTATAGAGGGCCCCCTTTACAAGCAACTGTCATGCATTTGCTTTGATCCACATGCATGAAAACACTAACAATCGTTAATTGATAATTGATATATATATATATATATATATATATATATATAAGAGGAAAAGAAATAGAAATGTGCGCAAATACTGCTCAAAATCAAATGCCTAAGTTATGTAAGCTACCTATAGCTTGCTAGCTAGCCAGACACGCACAAAATTATTCTGAATTGAGATAACAATTTTTCGATACGGTCACACTATAACATTTCATGTTAATAATACCATGTTATATTGAAAAAATTGCATGCAACACTGTCATCGTGTCATACAAATTATTCAGTTTTTTTTTAATACAACAATATATTTTATATTAAGAGGAGGAAGTTTAGCTAAGCCACATAATGGGGCATCCTAATTTGGTATTGAATTCGTCATCTACAAGATTCGAACCTAATACCTCTTACTTATAAGCGAAGAAGAATACCACCAGACCGTAATACTGAGTGACCAAAATTCTTCTTTTAAAATAAAGGTACTCATCAAACTATTTATATTTGGGGATATTATTAGGGGGAAAAAAGGAAAAAGAAGAAGAGCATGATGACTCTATGGGAACCATTTTGTTTTTAGCTTAGAATAAGATGTAGGATAGGATCCATCCATCGCCGTAAGCGGGAAGGGAGACCAATCCATGATGAGAAAGAGAGTTCCACAGACAAGACAAAGACCTGTGAAGTGAGGGTGAAATTGATATAACTTATATATCTCTCGGGGATATATATATATATATATATATATATATATGTATATATATATATATGTATATATATAGCTAACTTAGTCCAATTGGTGTCTTTTCTTGAATCTCTGGTTAGCTAGATGAGACATGTAAATCAATTTGATGATCAATGGTTTCAGTGCAAATTGTCCTAATCATTTAGTCCTTTTCGTGGTAAGTAAACGCCTAGGACGTTATCTAGACTATTATTTAGAAGAAGATTTCAACTATGAACAAATTGAATCTCACGTTAATTATATACATAACTATATAAATACAGTCTTATTATCTTGACTTACCGTCATTGTAACATGGCACAATGATCAACACTCAAGCGTAAACTACGAGGTTAAATGGTAGGGGTACCAAACAGCTCATTAGTAATGTATTACCTTACTGGCTAGTTAGTGGAGGATCATGATTTTCGGACCATCAGACCAAGGCGGGAAAAGCTACAAAGACTGGACCTTAGAGAAATTAGCAGAGCTTTGAAAAGGATCCAATTCCGGACCCTCTGCCTTACACGATCAGATCAATACGGTTTTAATAACCTACATGATTTGATCGGATCATCTAAAGGTATTATCAGAACAAGTCAATCTAATAAGCACCGAAACGATCGATAAGGTCTGCCCTTATTAAGAATGACGTAATTGGTCCTCAAGAAATGTATCATGATCGTATTCTGATTATGAGAGAATCTTGGGAACTCCTATTATCATGGGATTGGTGTGCATCTCAAGCAATCATTAACTTAATAGGAAATGATCTCTTTCTAGATTTCCTATTAGGATTCTCTTGACTTTTAATACGGATATCTAGCCTTATAAGGACTCTCAATGAACCCCATAAATATACCCATCTAGAGCTCAAAGAAACTGGTATCCCTTGTCTCAAGGGATAATCCCATATTCATATATAGAGAGAGGGGGGGGGGGGTGTGTGTGTGTGTGTATCTCAAGAGAGGATCCCATATCTCAAGATAACCCACAACTCATTCAGCGCATCTCTACATGGTCAACGCATCATTACATGCTCATACATAGAACTACACGTGATTTGATTATCCCTCTCTGACGAAGAGATATGTAGGCAATCATTCATAGATTCAATCGCTCCCTCTCCTCCTAAACCCCCTATACATAGATGTTCATGGAATTCTGACAATTATTCATAGACCAATGTTAGTGCATGAATTTCATTCCATTATTCATAGAGTAATGGCTGTGCGCGAATTTCGTTCCAATAGTTAGAGTTTAGTGTACTGCTTCTCATTAGAGGCAAATGTGATCAAGGTCTGGGGCACGTGCCCTAACCCCTCTTAGTTTTTTGTTTGAAAAAAATGTACTTAGTTCCCAAAATAACTCTTTTTCAATCGTTTGTTTGCCGTAAAAATAGATGAGTTTAACAAAAGTTAAACAACATATCTCAAGAGAGGATCCCATATCTCAAGATAACCCACAACTCATTCAGCGCATCTCTACATGGTCATCGCATCATTACATGCTCATACATGGAACTACACATGATTTGATTCTCCCTCTCTGACGAAGAGATATGTAGGCAATCATTCACAAATTCAATCGCTCCCCCTCCTCCTAAACCCCCTATACATAGATGTTCATGGAATTTTGACAATTATTCATAGACCAATGTCAGTGCATGAATTTCATTCCATTATTCATAGAGTAATGGCTATGCACGAATTTCGTTCCAACAGTTAGAGTTTAGTGTACTACTTCTCATTAGAGGCGAATGCGATCAAGGTCTGGGGCATGTGCCCTAACCCCTCTCAGTTTTTTGTTTGAAAAAAATATACTTAGTTCCAAAAATATTTCTTTTTCAATCGTTTGTTTGCCGTAAAAACAGATGAGTTCAACAAAAGTTAAACATCTTCATCTCTCTAGTGCAACTCTATCACTTGATCCTCGTCCAAGACCATAAAGAGGTGAATATTTGAGTTGATTATGACAGCTCAATAATAAGAAGACCCATTAACCATCTCTCCTCCCATTCGTCTTATAAATTTGATCTCCCAGCCTTATACATATATGATTTAATTTTTTGTTTTATTCATAAAAACATAACTAAAAGAGCATTAAAGGGCAAGAATATATGCTAAGTGCACAATAGTATAGGTCAGCCAAGTGCTCGACGAAATGACTCACAGTAAAAACTAAAAGAAAATATTTGGTGTGATGTGCAATATGAATATAAAATGCTCTTCTTGAAATATTCAATCAAAAACTGTCGAAAATATTAAACCCGAGACTCTAATAAATACCAAGACTAAAAAAATTCGAGGATTTTAAAAGTAATTATTAAGACTTCTTATCAAAATAAGGATAAACTTAAAATTTTACCACTCAAATCATTGGAGCAAATACGTATACTCTTATTAAAAATAGGGTTTTTGTGGGAAAGGGATATGCTACTAATGGAATGTTTAAATTGAATGTTATAAAATGTCATAATTGAGTCACTTGATGCTGATTTTTATGAGAATAAATTTCCTTTTAATCTTCGAAATAGTGGGGGTTCTAATTCTTCTGAAAATTTATGAACCTACTGTCAGATACCCCTTTATGGGAGAAACCGATATCATGGACTGAGAACTTCTGATGGCTGCTCTGAGTTTCTGGTGCTCATCCACCAATACTATGGTACTCCCCCTCGGCTCTATCGGACTTACTGTCCTTGACTTGATCCAAAGTGCCACTCCCTTGGGGAGCCATGCTGAGAGCCGATGAGCCCTCTCCGGAGAAATCTTCGCCCGAACATAGTTTTGACACGCCCAGTGAGACCACATTAGTCTTGTATGCCAAGAAGAAGATGGAAGGAAAAAGCCTTCAAGTGAAACACATAGTACAGGCTACCACTATTGTTGAAATGCAATAAGAATAGAGTCCTGCATCCGCCTCTACTTAGTTATACCCTTATTAAGATGCATACAATAGTATACAATAGTATACAACTCCATTACGCATGTCTTATTCTTTTTGTTTTCTTTTGTGTTTACACAACCCTAGAAGTTCGTAGGTCCTTGTCTACCCCAATGTCACATGTTGGATCAAGCACCAAGGTTTATGGCACATAAATTGAATGTGGTGAAAGCATCATTTTCATAAATTTCACATGATGATGCTTGTTCATTTGAAAGACCCAATCAGTCTTGATATGATCATATCAAATTATCTTCTTATTGTAGAGCACGTGTGCAGAATCATAATTTGTAACTTTCCTCCATATCACGCCAAGTTAACAAGTCAATATATATGACATTTTTGTGCAACATAAATAATAATTAATATATTTTTACTTCATAATGCAGAATTAGTGAGACTTTAAGTGTTTGCTTATAGTTTCGTTATCTTAGTTAATATTAAAATATCCATTAAATTAGTTTTTGGTGAACTGGGTTTGAAGAAAAGAATTAAAAATGTCAAATATACCGATTACTTATATAATTAGAAATGGTTAAGTACAACAAGTTGGGTAAGATTACTTCTTCACTTAGAACTATCAATTCTCTTCTCCCCAAGGCATTGTATAAAATTAGTTATCTTCGTAATAGCTTGATCAATTGTCAATATTTATAATGTGACAGTTAACGACTGGTTCAATAGCATATATGTATATGCAATGGAGCATATTCATGATCATAATATGGAAATCCTACGTTGACAATAGTAGTAAAAAGTACATAGCATGAATGCATGCGGACGTTTTAATAAATATTACCTTGTGGAGGCCCTCTTCGATTCTGTTTGACATTATTTCTATCTTAATAAACCACCATCATTTCAACTCAAAAAATAAATAAATAAAATAAAATAACCTTGCTACATGTACACTTAAATCGTATGTATATCCTCCCTACAAGTAATTTTTTACACCCCATATTTTAGAGAAAATCCAAATTAAATATTTTGGTAATTAATTTTTATCAAATGTTAGGATTGATTTTTTAGTGATGAATTTTCCCTTTTAGATAAATAAAAAAAATTAAAATCTTGATTAAATGCATTATTTGATCAAATATGAATTTAAATTTTATAAAACTTGCAATTGCTCCCCTAAAAACTTGAATTCATAAAAAAC